GATCAGTATACATGAATCAATAAACATGATACATCAATTAACACAATGAAGGACAAAAACCATATGATCATATCAATAGACCCAGAAAAAGTATTTGGTAAAATTCAACATTAATTTATGATTTAAGAAAAACTCTCTAACAAGCTGGGCAGAGAAGGAACACATCTCAAAATAATAAAAGCCAGATATGACACATAGCTAACAGCACACTGGATGGGAAAAAGTTGAAGTCTTTCCTCTAAAAACAGGAAGAAGAAAAGGATGCTCACTTTCACCACTCCTGTTCAACATGGTACTGGAAGTTCCAGCCAGAGCAATCAGGCAAGAGAAAGAATAAATGGCATCCAAATTGGAAGAGAGGAATTCAAGTTGTCCCTCTTTTTTGATGATGTGATTTTGTATCTAGAAAACCTAAAGACTCCACTAAAAAAATTTCTGGATTTGATAAACGAGTTCAGTAAAGTTGCAGGATACAAAATCGACATGCAAAAATAAGTAGAGTTTTTCTACCACTATAATCTTGTAGCTAAGAAGTCAAGAAGGCAATCCTATTTTTTTTTGGATTTATTATTTTTTTTATTAGATCATAATTGTGTACATTAATTCTCTCATAGGATATAGTGTGTTACTTCTATATGCAGTTTGGAAAACTCTCATCCAGGTGGCCAACATAGCCATCATGTCTTTCTCATAATTGTTATGCTAAGACATTTATATTCAACCTGTAGACAAATTCACCTGTACCCAAATAGAATAAACTATAGGCATGATCCCCACAAATATCATTCTCTTCACCCATCCTCCCCCCTTCTCCCCTTCTTTCCCCGTAGTCTAGGGCTCCATTTGGATTGTAGCTTTCCTAAGATAGCTAACAATTAGTTTCATAATAGTGTTGAGTACATTGGATACTTTTTCTTCCATTCTTGAGACACTTTGCTAAGGAGGACATTTTCCAGCTCCATCCATGTAAATATGAAGGAGGCAAGGTCTCCATCTTTCTTTGTGGCTGTATAGTATTCCATGGTGTACATATACCATGAATGGATCAATAAATTGTGGTATAGGCAATCCTATTTCTAACAGCTACAACAAAAAGAAAATAAAATGCTTAGAAATAAATTTAACTAAAGAAGTAAAAGATCTCTGCAAGGAAAACTATAAAACACTGATAGAAGAAATTGAAGAGGACACAAAGAATTGGGAAAATATCCATGCTCACAGATCAGAAGAATTGATATCACTAGAATCACCATATTTCCCAAAGTAATCTATAGATCCAGTGCAATTCCTATCAAAATACCAACATCATTTTTCATAAATTAGAAAAAAACCCTAAAATACACATGGAACCAAAAAAAGAGCCTGCATACCCAAAAAAAATCCTGAGCAAAAAGAAAAAAAGCTATAGGCAGTGCATTACCTGACTTCAAAATATATTATAAGTCTACAGTAACCACATACAAAAATTACGTTGGAATGGATTAAGTAGTTAAATGTAACAACCCAAACCATAAAAACAGTAGGGGCAAACCTAGGGAAAACTCTCCTCAACATTGGTGCAAGCAAAGAATTTATGACTGAAAATCAAAAGCAAAGGCAACAAAAACCAAAAATAGACAAATGGACTCAATTAAGCTAAAACGCTTTTGCACAGCAAAAAAATCATCAACAGAGGGAAGAGTCAACCTGTTGAATGAGAGAAAATATTTAGAAATTATCCATCCAATAGGGGACTACTAAATATACAAGTAACTCGAACAACTGGACGGAAAAAAATTAATACTACTATTAAACAAGTGGGGAAAGGAGATGAATGGATATTTCTCAAAAGAGGACATACAGATGGCCAACGGGTCATTTATATCAATAAATGTTCAACATCACTAATCATCAGAGAAATGCAAATGAAAACCACAGTGAGATATCATCTC